TAACTTTTTAAAAATAAAATTGCAATAGTATAGAATGTTATAAATTATATGTAACACCTTCAGCTATATTTTATATCTTTATATTTTTATGTTTATTTATTATATGTATAAAGATATACTATTATTCTAGAATAATTATTTTCAATAGAATATTTTTTTGATTAGTTAATTTGACTTATTGTCTTCTTTTCTTTAAATAATTAATAAAACTATAATAGATAAGAGTTCACAAAACAATTGAAAGCACTTATGTCAAATACTTATATATTTAAATATTCAAACATTTAGCTTTTTTTTCAGTCTAGTTAGCCAATTTATAATAAAATTACTTTTCATTTTTAAATGATTTTATCTAAGTGATTTTTAACTAATACAATTTTTTGATAAACTAATATTTTATTTATATATTAATTGCAATATATATTTACTAATATACTATCTATTACTTATAAAGTAATAATATGAAATCATTATTATTTCAATTATAAAAAAATAATACCTAGTTTAAAATTTACTATTGATATATCAATTTTATATTAAAAAAATCCTATTCTATTTCTCATCCAAACCACTAATTAATGATTATTGATAGTGATATTAATTATATTTATACTTTGTAAAAAGTATAAGAGTAATTAGTCTAGAAGGTGTAGATGCTTTTACTAATAGTATTACTGTTTTCAATACTAAAAGTGAATTTTCAAATAATTGTATAATATCTAATGATTTCTCAGATTTAGAAATTATTGAGTGTAATGATGATTTCACTTTATTTGTTCTTTGAATACTTTCATTTTGTACGTAATAATAAAAAAACTCTCTCAAAAAAATTTTCTTTCAAAATATATCTGATTTTAGCCTAAGATGATATTTAATTAGTTTTTGTTAAAAATTGAATCAATATCAAGAGAAAGTTATCATTATAAAAAAAATAGCATTAGTTATTTACAATAAATTAAAATAATGTTAGAAAAATTATTTAAATTATTTTTTTAGATTAGATCTATATTACTAAATTATATTATTTGATAATAATAATTTAGCTAAAATTAATAAAAATTATATATAATATATTTTTTCTTAAATAAATCAATCAATATCAAAACTAAAAGTTATTATTTTATAATTATTTTCTTAATTTATTTATTAAAATGATTATTAAAAAATGTTATATAATAAATTATATATACAGTCAACTCTTGATATAGCGAACTCTTGATATAATGAATTTTTTGAATAAATATAATAAAAATACTCTTGTTATAGCAAATTGGCCAATCAAATCTCTTAAAATCTTCACTATAGCCTTATAGCGAAGTTGAGGTCTAGGATATAGAGTTCGTTATAACAAGAGTTGACTGTATATCTAAATTTTCTAATGGATATTAATGCCAATTTTTTAATTTAGCAAAAATTTCATTAAAATTTATTATTTAATATTATTCTTAAATAATTAATAATTATTTATAATCTAAGTATTATTAGTTTTATCAAAAAGTATTTTAATACTTTATATGATCTAATGTAAAAAGATATATACCTCAAAAAATCGTTAATAAAAAAAATTTTATTAATAAACTTTTTTTTTTCTTATTTAAATTTTATCAGTACATATTCAGAAATATAAAAATATGAATATTAGATATCATAATTGGAATCATCATAGTGATCAGACTCATCATCAATTAATTGTACATCTTTATCAGACTCAAGATATTCTTTAGTGATTTTAAGTGCTTTTCTCTAAAACCCAACTATAACCTTCAAATTAATTTTTTTTTAAATGCACTTAGAAGTGTATTTCGAATGGATAAAAGGTTTGGATGCAGACCTAACCTTGCAACTTTACCCTTTATAATAGTCCAAATACCCTTAATTAGCTGAAGTTCACAGTGATAGGAAGGGGTAAAAAAAACTTGATAATTGTATTATTCTGCTATTTTAACACAAGAAAATAGCATCTTTTCTTTGTATACTTTAACAAGCTCTAAAAGTTCTGGTCTTTGTAATTCATTAAAAAAAGCAATATTATGAGCGGTTAACCAGTCAGCTATTTTTTTTTTTTTTGTGCTTGAAGTTAGAATACTTTTAGCTCAACGTTTATGATATCTTGCTTCATCTATGTGAATATTTATTAGCCCATACTTTTCATGAAGTGTTTTACAAAGTGTCAAAAAAAGGTTTTCAAAAATTTCTGCATTAAAGTTTTCATGATAATCCAATTGATCAGAAACAATGTTAGTACCTTTGACGACTTCAGAAATATTATTCTATCCTTTAACATATTTTTTTTTCATTTTCAACTTCTTGAAGGTTTAATTATTGGATTCCAAATATGAACAGAGTTTGGAACAAGTTCACTGCATAGTTTATTAGAAGGTCTATTTCAGAATATAATAATTGTTCCAAAAATTACTACCAACAGATCATGTTCAGGTATTAAAATAACACCTTGATGAGGAACCCATATATTATGAGAAATATGATGTAAATGACAATATGACTTATCAAGAAAACTTCTAGACGATGTGAAACATCATTATTGCCTTCCAAATTAGCAAAATGAAATCGAAGATAATAACAATGAAATGCAACATTATTTAGAGATTTATGAAGAATATTTTTTCATTCTCTTTAACCATAATAATATCCCAAATGATGTAATAGCCGAAGAAGCTGCCATTTAGAAAATGTATATCTTTGTTTAAAAAGATATTGACATAAATAGGTGTAGAAATTTGCTTGACCGTTTTGTTAATATTTAAAATTTTCATACGCAAAAGTTCTGAAACATTCTTATTGGATTGAGATTTTGGTCTTTCAAGTATTTATATAATGTAAAAGTACCATTGTTACATTTTTTTTAATCTAACACTACCTTCCTAAAGTTCCAGACGAGTTGAGTTAACTCACAAGTCAGATAAGCTGAGTCGAGTTTAAATCAAGTTGAGTTTATGTTTTTTTGACTGATGATTTGCGAGTCAAGCCAAATTCAAGTTGAGTTAAATATTTAACTCAATTCGATTTAAACTCGACTTGATTCAAATTGATTCGAGTTGACTTGAATGATAAAAAAATCATTTTAAGAAGAATGATAAGAAATCGTTCAAAAGAATAATAAGAAATCATTTAAAAAGAACGATAAGAAATTGTTCGACTTGAATGATAAAAAAATTGTTCAAAAAGAATGATAAGAAATCGTTCGACTTGAATGATAAGAAAATCATTTTAAGAAGAACGATTAGAAATCGTTCAAGAAGAACGATAAGGAATCGTTCAACTTGAATGATAAAAAATCATTTAAGAAGAACGATAAGGAATTGTTTGACTTGAACGATAAAAAATTCATTCAAGAAGAACGATAAGAAATCGTTTGATTTGAATAATAAAAAAATCATTCAAGAAGAACAATAAGGAATTGTTCGACTTAAACGATAAAAAAATCATTCAAGAAGAATAATAAGAAATCGTTTGACTTGAACAATAAAAAAATCGTTCAAGAAGAATGATAAGAAATCATTCGACTTGAACGATAAAAAAATTGTTCAAGAAGAATAATGACCTGAATTGTTCTTTTCATTTTTTTTTATTATTTTTTTTTCAAAATCGAATCAAGTTAAAATCAAGTCAAGTCAAATTGAGTCGAGTTTAAAATTTATATAACTCGAATCAAATCAAATTGAAAGATTTTATAAAATAAATTTGACTTGACTCGACTTAAAAAAAATGAGTTGAATAGAGTTGATCTTTAAACTCGACTTGACTCGACTCATTTGAAACTCTACACCTTCCTAACTGTACACTCAGAAATGCCTAATACCTCAGCAACTTGTTTGCATAATGTAAGCTTCTGATGGTTTCTTCTTACAGAACTAACCCCAGAGAAATAATTATAAAGGTTAATTATCATCGATTTTTCATTGTTTGTTAACAGTGCAGCATTTTATTTTAAAGGAGAAGAGGACATAATATAATAAAAAAATTTTTATCAGTTAATATCTTTTGATCATAATCTACTAATCATATAAATTTTAGGTCATAATATTTAGTTACACATAAGATTTTTTAGCATAGATCATTTCCTTTTTTAGCTAGGTATACATCTTTTTGCATTGGGCCATATTTTTATACAACTTATTTCTTTCTTTGAATTTTTTATTAAAGTAGTCTTAATAAATCAGATATTAGATAACTTTTATTTATATGAGTGATTTCATCTAAGAAATAAAGGATAAGTTGCTATTATGATAATTTTATAGATATAATCAAAGTTCTTTTCAAATATATTTTCTATTTTATATCAAATAATTGCAAATTATACATTTTTTTATTTTAAAATTTTAGCAAAATTATCAATTATTTTAATATCTAATCAATAAAGAAAAAATAAAGAAAACTTTATTTCTAAGTTTGATTAAAATTATAAATCATAATGATTGTTATTATGTTAAACAAAACATGATGATCAAATAGTGGAATTTAATTTTATATCAAAAGTTAAATTAATTTATTTGGTAAATTTTTATATTTAAATTAAATTAAATAATTTATTAGACCTTAAACAAATACCGACTAATTATTTTTTTTATTACACGTTTTTAAAATTATTACATGAAAAATATAATCTGATATTAAAGATTTTAAGTTTATTAATTTAATAATAATTTTTTATTATTAAATTATAAAGAAATATTTTGTTGGTATGATGATTAATTGCAAGGTAATTTATTAATTTAATTTATAATAATTTGATTTTTTATTATAATTAAATTACTTAATATTTATATCTTATAAAAACCCGTATAGCTGAACTAAAAAAATGGTAAAATTTTGTAATGATATCAAAAGTAACTGATAACAACGAGTTCGCAATTCTTAGGATCATGAAATCAAGTTATGTTAATATTAACCTACCTTTAAAGCGTCATTTACGAAAAAAAAAAAAAGATTTATTTTGTTAAGTCATTATGAAATCATTTGAAAATTACAAAGAAATACTGTCATATTTCCATATCCTGCAATTGTTCAACTTCATTTTCATCATCATTGCTTAAACGAACTCGTTTCGATATGCCTTTAAAATCCATTTTTTCGGTAAGAACTTTCTCATCGTGCCCAATCTTCCACATCTCATTTTGTTTTAATGAAGAAATAGGTTCAAAAGAGATAACTGCACGATGTGTATTTCTACGCGTTGCTATAATCAGGAACAAAATTAATAATAGTGACTTTCAGATGCATCCATTGATAACATAACGTATAGATACCCACTCGCATGCATGACTACAGCGCGACAGTTTGTTGATATACATTCTTTTGCCATTGCTTGATTTATCCCCATTATCGTGCCTCTAATAATAGATAACAACTGCATTAATATTGCTATTCACAAATAACGCAACAATCTAATACTCACAAGTTGACAATGTCATATGGACCACGTAATTCCATTGCTCTTTGCGCTTCGCTGGTAATTATTATATTTTTTCCACGTGTTACTCTAACCAAATTCTGAGCGTTAGTTATAAGATGTCGACGCGATGCGGCATCTAAAAATCATTGAATCTAAGGTTGAGTATAATAGAAAGACTATAAATTTAACTTGATAACGAACCTCTTATCGCAGGAGCGTAACAAATCTCAAAATATATGCCACGTTCAATTGCTAATCCGACAGGTCCATGTTTTATGTAAAATGGCAGACGTGATCCCATCTCAAGTGATATGATATCTATTTCATAAGTACCACAAGCATTTTGGAATATCTTTTCACTAGTTGGTTGAACTGCAACAATATCATAAGATGAGGTTGCGCTATTTGCAGATGTCTTTAAGTATAGAAGACCATTAAAGTAATTTATAACTGTTCATTACTTTTAGAAAACATGTAGGAAAGCTTTATAAGTCGAATCTTTACCAATCCATAATTCTGACTTGCATCTTCTATCACAACTGTGACGCGTGTCAATTGTTCGATCTTTGGTGGTAAGCCTGAAGGTAAGTTATCAATTTCTAATTTGCGAATTGGACTTATCTCTTGTAGTCAAAATATAATTTGCTTAATATGCTTTTTATATAATATCAATTAAAACTAAAAATAAATTTTCAGACGCTTTTTTAATAAAACAAGAAAATTTTCTTACTTTATTTGTATTGAATTTTCCGCTTATTACATGATTATATGCAACAACCTGATATCCAACTGATGTCAATTTGTAATCAAGTTAATTTACGTGTAATTTATTTAAAACAAAATAATTGGAATGCTCGAATGAATTGAACAGCTGAAATTTACATTTGATGAGAAAATTTACTCTTTTACGAAATTCAGTCTGTTGGTAAGCCATATCCGGCTGCGTAGGATAAGGTAAATTCAAATCGTAAAACATTTTGTAAAACTAAATTCCTTGTGAAAACTAAGTTCGACATAACTTAATGCTTTATACTATTAAGGTAGGCTGCCCGTGTGCATATTACCTAATTTGGTTCATATTGTTTATCTTTTATTCAACTTCATTCACGTGCTACGTGAACTATCCAAAAAAATTTACAACGAAATGTCAGATCAAGGGACTCGTAGCAAACATGAAAGAGAAGTCCAGGAAGAAGAAGGTATGTTTAGTTATTCTCCTGATTAGCATTTATTGTAGCTCCGCAATATTTTTTTGTCATTTTAAATTCCTGTCTTTTCAAGTTTATTATCGCAAAAAAACGTTACTGATTATGAAACATAACCTATAATTTATAGACGATGCTGACATCGGACCAGCTTTACCAACGGCCGATGAGGCGCCAAAAAAGAAAAAACGAGGTTTTGATAATAAGATTTTACTTGCATTGCTTATTTTTCAAATCTGTAATATCTTTCTGGTGTATTTAGACGAATAATTCAAACTTCAATAATACGTAGTTTTACTTCACGAACGAATTTATTTGGAACGTTTGCCTTCGGCTGATATGTATGAACGTAGTTATATGCATCGCGATGTTTTGAATTTCGTAGCTGTCACAAAGTATTTTTTATTTCATTTATTTATGATTTAAAGAAAGAAATACTTATTATTTCGGTGTATTAAGTGTAATTTAATTATTTTAAGAACGGATTTTATAATTACAACATCAGTTGATGGACATTTGAAATTTTGGAAAAAGAATGATAAAGGAATAGAGTTTGTGAAGCATTTTCGTGCACATATCGGTATCAAATAGTGTTATTTGATTTTAATTGTTGCTTACTTACTGGATGCTATTTAACATGATCAACATAATCAAATTTTATTCTCTTAGGTAATATCAATTGTATTAGTGTATCTGCGGATGGACTACTACTAGCAACTGGTTCTGTAGATAAAGCATTAAAAATATTTGACGTAATCAATTTCGGTGTGTATATTAACAACATTATTTAGAGATACATTTGTACATTATAATTATTATAATTCTAACGAGTTTTTTTTCAGATATGATTAACATGATGAAATTGGAATATGTGCCAAATAGTATATGTTGGGTTCATAAAAGAGGTCAAGCTCAGTCGCTATTAGCAAGGTAATCCTTGGCTTGAGCCAACTTTTGTGATCACGTAATAGATTTTAATTTTGTTTTTCTGATTTTAGTTCAAATGAGGCTGGTAGTATTTTTATTTATGATGGTCGAGGTGATGGAAGCCCGTTATATAATGTTCCAAAGTTGCATTCCCATCCGGTGCACTTAATGACAGTAAGCTTTCTGTTCAATTGACATTTTTAAATTTGATTTTTTAATACGATGATAAATCAACTTATTAATTCGCATTAAATTTTCCAGTATAATGAGAAGGACCATGCTGTTATTTCTGCAGATACATCAGGAATGTTGGAATATTGGGTACCGGAAGAACCTTTTGGTTTACCCAAAACTGTTTCATTTGAGTTCAAGTCAGATACTGACCTTTACGAATTCAAAAAAGCGAAAACACATCCAACTTCAATAAAGTTTTCGTATGATTATAATCAATTTGTAACAATGAGTATTGGAGATCGTCAGGTACGCGTTTTCCGTTTTAAAACTGGAACAATGATCCGAAAATACGATGAGTCATTAGCCATTATAAGTGAAATGCAACAGGTACATTATATTATTTATGGTGAATTTGAATTTTTTATTTTATATATATATGTTTACGTGTTACTTTTCCTATAATAGGCTGGTACTACTATATATAAATTAGACGATATGGAATTTGGACGTCGTCTCGCTGTAGAACGTGAATTGGAAAAGACTTCACAAGCTTCCACAATGAATGCAGGTGCGTCAAATACATTTTGTCAATTCTATCCCTCATCAATCGTAATATTAAAACATTCGCACATTTGTAGTTTTTGACGAGAGCGGTAATTTTATTATTTATCCCACAATGTTGGGCGTCAAAGGTTAGCAGTATGAAGTAAATCCACGGAAATATTTATTATTAAAATCCGATTTCCCTTCTTATTTATTTATTTCTCTATTTTAGTTATTAATCTAATTACAAATAAAGTTGTTAAATTACTTGGAAAAACGGAACCAAATCGCTTTCTTAACATGTCATTATACCAAGGGGCTCCAAATAAGAAAGCACTCATCACAATGGTGATAACATTAAAATGACAAAGTTTTTCTTTTATTAAATTTTTTTTTTTTTTTAAAAAAAAAAAAATAACAAAATCCTCAAAATTATACGCTTGTATTTAAAATGATAGGAAATGGCAGCATCAGACAATCCATTGGTGAGGGAAAGCGAATCGATGGATCCAACACTGTTTTGTACAGCATATAAAAGGAATCGATTTTTTATGTTTACAAAACGCGAACCAGATGCGTTAGTATAAAGTTTATTTAACAAAAAGTTGTTTTCAAATGAATTATTATAATTTACATTTTAAAAGTTATTGCGAAATATGTTACATGGTTATGCTAACTACTATATTTACGAAATTTATAAATGTATCTATTTAATAGTCACGAATCACATAAGGGAGACAGAGATGTGTACAATGAAAAACCAACAAGGGAAGAACAAACCGTAGCATCAGCACAACCTACTAAACAAAAATTGGGCAATACTGCTATATTACGTACAACCTCGGGAGATATCCATATAAGATTATTTCCCGAGTATGCGCCAAAAGCTGTTGAAAATTTCGTTACCCATTCTAAGAATGGATATTATAACAATGTGATTTTCCATCGAGTTATCAAAGGGTTTATGATTCAAACTGGAGATCCATTAGGTAGGAATAATATAATAAAAAGGGAAAAATCTATGACAAATGAGAATGAAAAAATGTACATGTAAAAAAAAAAAAAAAATTTTAATGTAACTATATACAAATTATTTTAAATTTTTTTTTTTTTGGATAAAAAGGGGATGGTACCGGAGGTGAGTCAATATGGGGAAATGAATTTGAGGATGAATTTCATAGAGATTTACGACACGATAGACCATATACCGTAAGCATGGCTAATGCTGGACCAAACACTAATGGATCACAATTTTTCATTACGGTTGTTCCAACAGTAAGTAAAGGAAAAATTTTTTACACGGACTAATCCTAATACGGAAACCCTCAAATATACTTACCAAATATCTTTTAATTAGCCATGGCTTAATAATAAACACACAATTTTCGGTAGAGCAACTGCCGGTATGGATGTGATTCACACCATCGAAAACTCCAAGACCGACAAAATGGATAAGCCATATGATGATATTAAAGTAATCAATATTGAGATCCGTTGAAGAATAACTCGGAACTCTTCCAGTACTATCTTATCAAACATTCAAAAAATAGATCAATCTTTCTTTAAATTGGAAAATAATTAAAAATTTCCAAATAAAAAAAAAGGTGGAATAGAATGCTTATTCGTAAACTATATATTATATTAATAAAGTTATTCCGTAAAGATCAGCCGTCTTGTCAAATTGGAAAATCTTAATAATCATTGTAATGTTACCTATTTTTGGTTTTTGAAATAGCTTTGCCCTTTGCTTGATTCAAAAGATTTTTTTAATAATGATTATAACATAGTTTTAATCATTTGCCAACACCAAAAGTTTTAGCGTCCATTAATTCTTCAATACAATCCATAGAAGGAGCGTTGCAGATTAAGTATCTAATGTTCTCAGTTGATCGTAATGTTTGCCAATTCTTAGATATAAAATCATAAGCAACCGTTTTTAATATAATTTTTGAGGTGTAACTATTCGAATTCCAAGCCAAATCCAACACTTGATGACAATTCCCAAGGGTAACCAAATGAACTATACGGTCAGCAACCAATTGAGTTAATTGTTCTAATCTCATCATATCAGCATTCGAATAAATATCCTTTAGCACATCAAAATCCAAACCATCTTGAAGCCTTAAAGTATATAAATAAAATAAAATTGTACGAAACGCTTCAAAAGGGATCTCTTTTATTGGAATAACTTTCATATTCCCATCACCAGTCCAAGCATTTCCCAACCATTTTTCGAAATACTCGGAACGTTGAGATAATATTATACGATGAGCTTTTATGTTGTGCATACCATTATCAAAGGTGAAGGCCACATCATAATAAGTCTCATTATCAAAGAACCTTTCAAAAGAGGCAGGGGATTTGATGATTGGTTCAGGATGAGCAAAATCATTTTGATAATAGGCGGTGTATGGAGTAATCATATTATTTGTGACATTATTATTATAAATACGAATTCGAACGAGCACGTCAACATCTTCCAGATTTGGATCCACATTCGGAAATAAATTAGAAAATGTTCCTATCGAAGGTATTCCGAATAAAGTATTTGTATTTTGTAATTCGTAATCAAATTTCAGCATATTACTCTCATATACTAATATAGGGTTCTCCTTCCATAAATCCAACTGTATTGACATGGTTGAAGAAGGTTCTTGATTTTGATTTTTAGATTTTAATAAACGATAAACTTGTATCTTGAATTGTACGGATCTTTTAGTAATGTAACGTTGTTTTTCAAATAAAGTTTGTATGGCTTCAAGATAAATTGAAATGTGTGATGGTAGTTTCTTCAAACTACCATTTGGATATAAACGAATTCTCCAGAGATAGGCCGTATCATCAAAACAATTGAATTGAGATTGCTGTGAGGGAAATACCGAGGCAAAATCGGACCAACCCGGAGGGTATAACAGTGAAGGATCATGAGTTCCCCTAGGGGAATGAAAACGATCCGAATAGGCGAAATTTGACGGGGACATCTGTCGATGAAGTTCATTGAAACCTCGTAATGTCCATGAGAAGGTGTGTGCCGCTTGCTGTTGCTGTTGTGGAGGCAGAGAAGTTGGTTGTATCTGTATATTTCGCGCAGGCAGTAGCCGCTCGTTCGTTGTGGTGGTTGTAGTTGTCATTGTCGTTGACATGGTGAAAAAGCGAATATTAAATTTTTTTTTTTTTGTTATGAAGCGGTCTTTATTATTATTATTTTTATTATTTTTTTTTAAAAAAAAAGGAATTATTAATTTTTTTTTTTTTTTCGGCGAAGTCGTGAGGACAAAGTGAGAGAGAGGAAAACCCTATTAAATTTATACAAATTTTTTTAATATTTGGCATTTTTTTTAATGGTACTTAAATAGCTTAGATCACATTTTTTAGAACTGTAAAAAAAAGTCACGTTGTAAACTTGTAAACTTGTAAACTGGTATATTTATCTACTTGATTTAGCAAAATATTAATGCTGTACTTTATCATTTTTTTGTTTCTACTCTAATAAATAAAAAATTTTTTTAAAAAAAAATGTTTGTTCCGAACTAAAAAAAAATATATTTTTATTATAAATACATAATGTGCATGTATATGTACAGTATGTATGCGCATATTTGTCGTATTGTTATAATTTTATGGTGTGACATCTTTCAAAGAAATTAAAAATTTCTGTTTATACAAATAAATTGATAACTTTATTTACTGTAGAATCTATAAATGTACAAAAAGAAATGGATTTTCATTTTCCTTAGCAAACCCTTTTTTTTTTTTAACCAAAAAAAGATTTGCTGAAAAAATGAGAAACCATGAACGCTTTTATGAATCAGTGAAATTTGTTGTGACGTCATTAAACTCCAAAAAAAAAAGTGGGGGGTTTTAAGTTGCATAAAAAAAAACGAGTTATTTTCAATAATACGTTATTGACGTGTATATATGGTTATATTAAATAATTTATTGATGTATGATTATCGTGAGGGGAAGTTCGCTCGTCATCTACAGAATTACCAAATTACGTAACAAGCACTTTTGTAAATTATCAAGGGATTTTTTATTAAACTATAAATGCTATTGTGTAATGTCCGGAGATCCTTACAGAAATTCCGAAATTCCACGGAATTCCGAAGAATTGCACGTGGAATTGTGGAATAATGGAGAAACGTCGGGCTGTTCTTGTTGAATATCCTATTTAATGCACGGGTTTTATCTGGGGTTTTCCTTTGATAGATTGATTAGATTCAAAAATATTTTTTTGTTGTCAAATAGGATCAAAAAAAAAAAAAAAAAATACACATTGATTATGTTCCAGTTTGGGAATCCCTTTACGTAAATTTTCCCAAACAATTACGCAGTGCCTGAACAACAAAGTGAAAATCACAATTCAAATTGAACGCATTTGTATTCATAAATCAATGAAAATAGTGTTCCTTTTAAGTTTTGGCATCTTCAAAGGGATTTGTCATTATGTTTCACATGACTTATTCCAAAACCCTTATGATTGACCCTAACGAATAATGTCATCGTTAATTAAATAGTTAAATGACTGGAAAAAATTAAAATTAATTTTTCCACAGTGCACATGTTCCACTCTCATTGAGAGACAATCGGAAATTCGATTCTATATAAGGTGATATGAAATAAGATATGCTAGAACGTTCTGATAGGTGGCGGCTCCGGAATAACGATTGGGTTCCGGATTGAAAAAAGTAGATTGGTTGACCATTTATTTAATGGATCCTTCATTTATTAACAAAATGGTTCATGAAAAGTACCGAATCATATTTTGTATCATAACTTATTTTGTTTATTCTTGTTGTAAGCCATCTTTTACCGAACATTTTTGGCTAAATTATCAGCCGTGCAATGGTGGTTTACCCTTTGATGATTTAATTGACGTATGCCGTGAAAGGTTCTAGCAGATTCAAAAGGATGCATGCCCCCCCTTTTTTTAGGTTAAGAAGATTTTACCTAATTTTTTTTGTGCATATATACCAAGTGATTTATAATTTTTTGTTTGTGTCAATCAATGTAAGAGGGCTAAAAAAAAATTTTATTATTTCTGAACGTTAGCAAACGTTTATGGACATCGCCGTGTCATTATCATCGTTCTTTCTCTCTGACCAATCAATTTTTATTTTATTTTAAAAAAAAAAAATCCCCATTTTTTAATGGCGAATTGGTTAAATTATGTAAGAGAATGTGAATATATCATGTCTCATTCATTGTAGTTAAAATCATCTCTTTGATTTAATAACTATTTGGTATCATTATTTAAAAAGGATTTTTCCGAAAGGGAAAAAAGGTTTGAAGATTTTCCAGTGAATATCCGTTATCAAACTCATTGAAAAGGTTTCTTTTAGTAAAGTGAATGAAACAATGGTATTTTTCAATATTGTTTTATTTAATGTGAGTGTTTAAACCTGTTTGAAATATTAAGTTTTTTTTTTTCTCTTTTGTTTCATTACGCTAATACGGATTTAAAGAAGATTTATTTAATCTTCATGTGAACCCTTCAAGATAAAAAAAAGGTCGGGTCTCTTTTACCCAGTCTACAAATGGTCTTGACCATAAGAGATTTTTTTTTTTTATTTAATGACCAACTTGCGTCACAAGGTACCATATTAACATTATCAATGATTACAAGTATTCATTAAAAGTAATATTATTTCCCCCAAACCTTTATAATTGAATCAATAGAGATTAAAAAAATCAAAATTCCGAATAAGTTATATCTTTTTTTTTTTTTTTTTTTTTATAGATGTGTGAAAAAAAGCGCCCATGACCTTTTTTTTTTTTTCCCTTCGAGCAAATAGATAAACAACCGGTTTCAACCGCTTGTGGTTAGAAGTTGTGACAAGGAAATTCGAAAAAGTAATTTGGGTATTGTGTAATTTGATGGACGTGTTACAGGATCGACTGCACCTTTTTTTTTTTTCTCACAGTCCAACCCCCCAAAATCCTCTTCCCTTACTTTGCCCAAAAACATCTTGCCCGTGATGTCAGAATCAGACAGTCCGTTCGTAGGACTTTCTTCATTAAACCTACCAGATATCGAAAATGATAAAGGTTTCAAACCAAATCTTGACGTTATTATACAAAAGATATCTCAAATTTTCAATAAAACTTGCGTAAAAGTTGAATTGATTGAACAAGATTCCGGATATCGAATACCCTTCTTGATAGAATTGGAAGACGGAGGAGAATACATCTTATATGTGATTAACCCGACACTTTCAATCATTGATAAATATCCAAAAGATTTGTTAATCGATATGATGCGGAGTGAAATCGGTACCATAAATTACCTCGATAAATATACAAACATTCCGGTACCAAGGGTTTATCATTGGAATCTTGAAAAGGAGAATGAAATAGGGGCACCTTTCATGATCGTTAAAAAATTATTCGGAAATAATCTCGATCAAGAATGGAGTACGTTAACCTTTGAACAGAAATGTGAGTTCATAAATCATTACCTTGACATTTTAGGTTCCCTTGGTGAAGTTAGACAAGATCAGATCGGGAGCTTGTATTTAGATGAGGAAAACTATCAAATCGGAAAGTTGGTCATCGATAATTATGTTAACCTTGGTAGATCATCCTTTAAAGACGAGGTTAATCGTGGTCCATTTCATTCAACAAAAGATTTTTTAAATGCCGCGATCGAACTAGAAATAATTTTGTATAATAAATGTGATTGGGGAGATGAATGTAAAGAATTATGGGTTCCGATACAAGAAAAAATGTTGGAAATTTTTCACACCTATTGGAAGGATGATCCGAATTATGATTTTAATTCCTTCGTATTATGTCCACCATTATTAGAGGATCCGAGTAAAATTCTAATTGATAAAGTTGATGGGAAAGTTCGGATCACGGGATTCCTTGAATGGAAACATACGGGATTTTTACCCAAAGATTACCTCTTTAATAAATATCCTCACATCATCATAAATCGTCAAGAATATAAATATTCGGAAGAGAAAACGAGTGAAAATCTTCTGTTACAAGAACATTTTGATAATCAAATCATAAAAAGGTACCCTCAATTTAAAAAGGATGAGATAAGAATGTTATTCTTTGATACCATCATCGAAAATTTCGATAGGATTTGGTGTACCATTGATGCTCTTAGAAGAATACACGATTACTTTAATATTGAAATGAAGGAAGAATGGTTGATTTCTGATGATTATTTCAAGAGATGGTTTAAAGAAAATTATTCTTTTTCTGACGAAGAATGTAACAGATTAGTTGATGATAGGGCATGGTATAATGGTGGTTTTGTTAATAAAATCATTTATGAATCTGATTATACAACAAGCGATAGTGAAGGTGATGATTCTACTGATGATGAAGAACATATCATTTGCAATATTGATGATTATGATGATGACGAAGATGATGATTATGATTTTGAAGAAGAAGAAGAAGAAGAAGAAGAAGAAGAAGATGATGATGATGATGATGATGATGATGATGACGAGGAAGAAGTCGATAATGATGATGATGACTCGGATTGATCATAAAAAGAACAATTGTTTTTTGTTAAAGCACGTGACTAAACAATCTTCGTTGCGTTGCCACTGGAACAAATGTAGTTAAATTATCTTTATACGACTTGATAAGATATACAACCGTTCGATCTACTTCCTACAGAATGGGTTCAATAAACATCGGTCCATATTTACCCGACAACTGGACGGATAATCAATTTTTGATCATACCAATAATAATATGATGAATCTCACCGACTCTGACTAGACCCCAAAAATCTGAAACATTCCCCTTCGAGTCAAAGATGCATGATAATTATTTATTATTACAATAAATCATGATATTTGTAAAGGTGAACTTTTCTTGTTTTTAATTTTATCATTACTCTGCAGGTTTCAATTGTTTACATTCATCGTCAATAAACCAATCCATTTGCTCATACTGAGAAAGTTACAATTCGCGATAACCTCTCACGTTTAAAATTTCTGACATTTCAATGATCTTCTCTGAGGATTTTTTTTTATCCCCAATTAGACCCTGAATTGGGCAAATATCGAAATTTTAAACTGGATCACGAGAAAATTTCTCCTGATTTACTAATTACATCACATCTAAGAAAGGCCTCATTCGTTGTGTTTTTCATTAATGTACTTCATTTTTTTTTCGACATGTGTAAGTGGTAAAAAAAAATAGCCGTATAAATAAAAAAAATTGGATGATCGGTTATTACACGAATCAGAATTTGTTTAAAATTTAAATTTATATTCTTGAATTATTTTATTTCTCTAATCTTTTAAAACGATCTCGATATGTAAACCAAATCTGTCGATTCTTCCGCAGCTTCACTCTTGAAATGTAACACCAAATAATTGAAGACAATATAGGATATTTCATTTAGACTCGGAGTATGACAATTCTATTTAGTGTGGCGTTTTGTAATTATAATTTGACTTTTGATTTAAAAGGAATAATATTTACGATTTTATGTTTTAGCCCAAAACAATTCGCCAAGATTTATAGTAATTTTGCCGAGAAAAATATAGTATGGCACATTTTTAGCCAAATATCCACGTGATACGGATTTTTGATTGTATAAATAGTACCTCATTTGGTAAAACCGAACCGATTTTGTTACGCCAAAATTTTTTTTTGTTTCAAAAGGAAACCTTTGTCAATCAGTTGTGGAATAAAATTTCAAGGTGTTCTTGGTAAAATTAATTATCACTAAAAAGAAGAAATTTAACTTATAATGACCGAAAGGAAAGATACCAATCCATTTAATACGGAGGGTTCTACGCCTCCTCACCTTCCAGCCAGCGTATATCAACCAAATCCATTTCCTATAAACCCAGCGGAAGGTAATCCTTGGGCAGGCACAACGAACGAACAACCTTATCAAAAACCTCCACAGCAAGGACATGTTAATGCTTATGATAACACATCATCTTCATATGGACACAGTTATAATACTTCGGATCAGTCCAATTATTCTACATACACCATGCAAATGCCAACCCCGTCTGTAAATTATAACATAAATAATTCATCTCCTTACGGTTATTCCAATTCTGCTTATAATCAGAACGCCTATGCACCAACTTATGATACCAATGCTTATAGCACAAATGCATATAATCCTAATCCTAATGAATACAGTAATACAAATGTTAATCATGGTGTTGATGCTTCTGAGCATGACGGTCATGTTAAAAGTGAACGAGAAGACTCGTATGATGAAAATACTACCGAATTGGATGGTTCTGTCACGGCTGCCAATCCTGGAATAGAAACTCATGATCCTGACAAATTGAATATTTCCAACGGTACAATTAAAGCATCTTTGAATGGCACTCCTAATAAATGGAGACTTTTATCTAGGTTTATTCAATTTATTGCTAGCGTTGGCGCCTTGGCGTTTATCATTGGAGCTCCCGTCGTAAGTACCTTCTTTTGATGGGCAAGGGAACGGGAATTTCTAGAAAATCAATTAACTATATATATTTTTTTATTCCCATAGGCTTCTCATGTATCAACGCCGAGTACAGCTAATAACACAGCAATCATTTTCCTTCACATCGTTTCAATCGTTTCGATTATTTATTCATTCAGTCATTTGGTATTTTATTGTCTGCGTCGTTGGCGTCATAAAAATAAGGCACCAAGATGGTCGTTATTGCTTGTCGATATCGTACTTGGGGTAAGTTTTGGCACTTTAATGGTATTTCTAATTAAAGATTTTCGATGCTCTCCTGGAAAGTTGAATGGATGGTATGTTACAACATTTAAATTGCAAGTGTGAAATCAAAGGTTTTTTTTTCTTAAAAAAAAAAAAAAAAATTAATAATTATAATTAAATAATCTTTACTTTAGGTGTGATTTTTACAACACTGCCATATTTTTCACAGTTTTGGCTTTTTTTACGTATGCTGTGTCGTTTATATGGGATCTTGTTGGAGGTTTTAAATCAATTAGATCTTAAAAAAAAAAAAGAATTTTTTGCTATCGGTAGGACTTTTGAAAAATTGCTAGAAAAAAAAAAAAATCGGACATTTAATGTATATTATTTTATTTTATTTTTTTTTTTTTACAAAAAAAAAAATCATTGTATATTATTAAACATTGTTATTTTCCGCGTAAACGAAATTTTATCATGATTCAATGAAAAAGCGTAGTAATTCGACTTGTGATATGATAAACAACAATGTTAGGAGGGTATAAGTACGTACAAATCGTAAAAAAAAGGCAAAAAAATTTTTTCGAGATTCTTGGTTGAGTTCTCGAACGAGTATTTTTTTCATGCCTTTTTTTTCGGTGTTGAAGACTTCGAAGTGTCAAAAATCCGACGCTTTTTAAAGGATCACGTGATCAAGTGTGCCACATCTTTTAATAAATTTTCTTACATTTAAAATAAATCATTATTTATATTTTATTTATATAAAAAATAATTCCTTGCATTGGAAAAAGAAAAAAACATTATTATTGTTTTACATTTGAACAAAAAAAAAAGTAATTTAATTAAATTAAGGCGAAAAGGTTTTTTTTTTTTTTTTTTCCTCAAGCTTAATAAAGAAAGCAAAACAAAACAAATGGAACGAATCGAATCAGACCGATAAAGAAATGAACCCAAAGAGGAAATCCACCCAATAAAATCAAATCTATCCAACTTGAGAGGGTGAATTCTCAGAATTTTTTTTTTTTTTTAATTAAGGATGGCAAAAGTTCTTCTGATACGATGATCCTTAGGTTTTTTTTTTTCATTTTTTATTTAAGGTCATATTAAGTTAAACCCTTAAACATTTTTTTTTTTCGTTTCACGTTTCATAGTCAAGATAAATTTCGTACAACAGAAAGACATACCGAGTTTCTATCATTGACATCAACATAAACATTCGGGTGAAATTCCTGTTTTTCAAATGTAATGTGTGATCACAAAAATGGTTAAATCACACCCTTAAACAATCGCGTAAAAGCGAGTCACCCCTCGTTCGAATCACAGCGTGGCAATCACGTGACATACATTTTTTAAATTATTGAGGAAAAGTTTTGGCAAGCATGGTTTGACACAAATATATATTATTTTCCTTGTAAAGATTAGGAGAAACGTTTCCATAGACAATCAAGGAAATCTGAGGGGTCCAGGGGGTTTTATGCATCCCAAAATTGTCCATCAATTGATTAAATAAATCGATACATTATTGGGTGACACCTCTTTTACCCACCGACCATCAATGACCATTTTATTTTTAAAGTTTCGGCATTCGTCGGCCGTACATAAAAAAGAAATCGTTTAATGTCGATCGCTCATGCCAAGGGGGGGATTGATGCAAATCAATGTTTGTTTTTATTGTTTACCAAAAATAAATTTTATTATAGAGTTACAATATCTTTTATTAAAAAAAAAAAGGAAACGCGAAAAGGAATTTTTTTTTTTTTTTGAATTCATGGGAGCGTGAGTGCTTGTGGTTGGTTGTTCATCAAGTGGTTAGTTGTTGTTGATGAGGTGTCAATCACGCATACGAGAGAAGAAAAAAAAAATATTTATTATTTATTTATGCAGGAAGGTCA